TCTTCTTTAATGATGTAATCACTGTAATGCCGTAATCACTGTAATACTGTAATCATTGTAATGCTGTAATCAGTGTAATATTGTAATCACTGTAATGCTGTAATCACTGTAATACTGTAATCACTGTAATGCTGTAATCACTGTAATGATGTAATCACTGTAATGCTGTAATGCTGTAATCACTGTAATGCTGTAATCACTGTAATCACTGTAATGCTGTAATCACTGTAATGCTGTAATCACTGTAATCATGCACGGCTTATGTGAAGCTCCAATTCTAATACAGATTACAACAAGCAATGTTCATCGTATCAATGCAGTGCCGGCGGCACAGTGGACAGAGGAGGCAATCTTCCCCTCGAGAAAAATGTTGGGGCGTCGCCCCCTAAAATCAAGTTGAAACCCTTTGTAGTTTGTATCAGCATAATTTGCCCCTCAAAATGCAGGAAATAGCGTTTCAGAGGGTCTAGTATTAAAAATTGTCAAGGTGGAGCATCCCTCGGACCCCCCTAGGAAGGTCGCGCCTTCGGCGCGAAGGATGATGAGCAGATCTCGCCCCTCCATGCAAAATGTCGCGCCGCCGCCTTTGCAATGGCAGCGCGATTTGTAGTGAGTCCCCTTCAATGTGGGAAGCAGTTCATGATAGGATATGCCATTTAGGCTAATATGATTAATTTTACGTTAAATCTTTTAAAGATGCTATATGGATGAGAACATGTATGTTTCATATCATTAATATTGATACTGTATTTTGATGAATACATTGGATTATGAGTTTTCAAAACGTAGTTCTCACATTTTTTTTTCAATTGTTGTCTAATGAAAACTATAAAGTGTACAGCATACTTAGTTTACGATATTATCATATTCTAATTTGGTTCTCAAAATATACGTGTTTTATATTATATACATTATATACTGTTCTGATTGTACTGTCAGAACATGCATGACACCAATAGTTTATAGGATAAGGGTATGTGACTGGTGGGATATGCATTAACGATTATAATTCACACAAATTACTTGATGATTACAAAATAGCAAGACACGCGTACAGTTTTTGAAATCCTAATGAGAATTAGTTCATCAGTGAACGTAATTTGAAGGATAAATCCATTAGCCGAAATTCATTCACAAATAACGGATGCGACTTTTGGGAATCTGAGTGGGATTCTCAGAACATTGTGTTCCAATGTAGTCTCCAACAAAGAAATGCACTATATATCAGCACTCAAGTTCACAAGCAGATCCGGATATGTTTGTATAAAAATGAACATTGGCTAATCTCAAGTGTTAATATTCCCATGGTTACAGGTTTTATGTTCTTTCCCATTATTTTGATTAAGAAATCAACAAACGTTGACATCGCTCTGGGAAAAATACCATGTGACCCCTAACTGACAATTGTGTTTTTGAACTACTTTAAATTCGATTCCTAGTCCAATAGCTGATTCAGAATCCCGATCCCGGACAAGAAACTGGCGCAAAAGTCCCAGAAGCCCAGAGAATCCATCCTCGATAAATGTACATTATGTCCCTAACACAAAATGAGAAAATCTGTCTGTGTAAATCTAAGTGTCTAACTATACGTTACACAGAATTACGTTTTTGATGCATATATTTGAAGTATCAGCCTGCTTCTTGCTAAATTGTTATCATGGTCACCGTGCTTATTTATCAATAATATTTAATCAATATTTTTAAATAAAAAAAGGATATATTGACCACAGCTTCTGAAATGCATGTTACATATTTTGTGTAATGTACGAATTCAGAAGATTAACATTGATTGATAAAGCAATAAATTCCTGGATGAGAATGGTCATTACATTACTTTCATTTCATAGGTGTTAAGAAAGAGTGGACTACGATATCAGATAAACACTTACCCACATTTAATGGATATTAAAGACCGAGTCCAAACAATGACACAAAATGTTTGTTGTTACGATCATTTTATGGTATTCATGAACATTCTTATCAGGAAATACCGAAAAAGAAATATGAGGGCTTCGTTGTATTCTGTTTTTGTAATTACGTATTATAAAATCACTAATAAAAAATATTTCAAGAGTAACGTACATTTTCCAGTGAAATTTCAAACAATTATATAGATATATTATTGGTCATATATAAGGAGTTTTAGAAATTAAATTTGAACGGCTTTGGATTAATATTTTACATATATAAGGTTTTAAACGCTAGTAAAATTATAATAATTTACAATACTTTTATTTTCAGATTTTCTAATTGCATCGCCTTCGAGTGTTTTGGCGGTAGCCATGTTTTGTATATTTTAGCAGTCGTTTTTTATTATGCAAACCATATTTTAGGCATTAATCTCGCCTCGTTTATTAGTGTAATCAACTGAATAAAGAGTTCAGATTTCCACAGCGTAATAACATCAAAAGCATGTGGCTTTAAATCAAAAGTGGCTAAAGGAAACATGACACCATGCGACAAAATAATAAAGATAACACCGTTTTTGACACTACTCTGATTTCAGTTCGCCTTACCCGTCTAAATATGCTGTATATACTGGTATACACGATCTGGATAATACGACATCGTCAACAACCACACGTCATCTCATCGATGACATCATCGTCCATGAGATGTATAATGATGTAACACAAGACAGTGACATCGCGTTGCTGAAGCTATCCGATCAGGCGAACTTCACGTACGACACTGTCAATAACGTCTGTCTTCCGGGCCGAGGGACTATTTTCGAAGACGGTGAAATGTGTTATGTCAGTGGATGGGGATCCATCTATGGTGAGTTGATGGGGTTGCACTGTTAACGTGTTCAATTAGGAGATGTGTCTGCGTATGTTCAAGGGGAGTTAGGGTAGCTCATTGTGTACTTTAAAACTATTAATCCACTTCAGTTTACATGTTTAGCTCCGCTATAGATTTAGTGGACAGAGCGGAGAATATTACTGATTGTCTGCCGTCGTCCGTCGCTCGTCATCCGTACGCGTCGGCGTCAACTTTACATATTCGAAAACAGCAAGTCCAGTGGCTTCAATATTTGGTACAGATGTACCTTGGGTGGACCTCTCTCAGATTTATTGACGACATCTTATATTTTATAATTTTAGAGAATATTTTTGTCATTTTAGTTAAAACATGGAGTTAAAAAGAAATGCTGTCTTCGACTTCTTAAAAAAAGAACAAGCCTCATGGCTATGATATTTTATGCATAGGCACTTTTGGTAGACCTCGGTCAGATTTGATCATTTGTGACAATACCTTCAATTCTCTAATTTTAGTGAATATTTTTGTTATTTTTTGGTAAAAACGGTTGTTTTCGACTTCTTCTTGAAAGTGGCAAGACCAATTGCTCATATTTTATGTGTAGGAATGTGAACGGGCCTTTGAATTATTTGTTATTACGTGACGATGTTTAATTTTCTAATTTTTTTGGATGTTTTTTAAAAATATTTTTAGTAAAAAATGCAATTTTTAATTGTACAGCGGAACCTTGCTTGCTTGTTGGTTATACTATTTTGTAGCTGAATTAAAAGTTTAATTGTCAGTTATACCATTTGTCTGTAGATGGCGGTCCATCATACAATATATTACAGGAAGCAGCGGTCCCTCTGATTAGTACATTGCAGTGTAACACAGAGACAAATCTGTATGGCCACATCACACCAAATATGTTATGTGCTGGATACAGCGAAGGAGGCGTGGATGCCTGCCAGGTAGTTATATCCACATGTGTATCTCATGTCTAGACAATGTTTATATATCACAAAATATAAAGCATTATTTGACAAGCAAGCTTAGATTCCAAAAAATGAATATTAAATATTATTTTTTATTATTTTTCATTATATCTTGTTTTGCATTGATTTCTATGATCAAAATATTTCGTAATATTTAGAAGTATTACTCAAGAAAATTAATATTTTACACAATTTTAAAAAACAAGTTTGAGTTAATTTAGCGAGTTTCCAATGAAATAATGTTTTACTATTCTGTGAATTTAACACCAGCTATACATTTTACGCATGCTGAGTAGATTTAGATGTAAATTATGAAGTCGTCATGAACTGTAGTGTTGATACTGATATTATGTTGTTTTTTCTTAAAGGGAGACAGTGGTGGACCTTTGGTATGTAAGCGTAATGGTCGATGGGTGCTAGCCGGGGTTACGAGTTGGGGAGATGGTTGCGCTCGTCCATTGTACCCTGGTGTCTACACAAAGCTAACAAAATGTATGAACTGGATCGAAACAAAAATTAATCAAATATTTGACGAAATTTGAAGTCATTTAAATTTATTTTTTGTGCAGTGTGGATTACTGCATGTTGTCTCAATTGCACTGAGACTTGAGGAGGGAGACTAAGAACACGTGGAAATCCGCCTCTACACTAAAGATTAAATCGCTCCATTAATCATGGGTACACTGAGAAATACACATTATCTAAAATATGTAAAATATGTATTGTCATTTACTACAGAATCAAACTTTCCTAATTATGGTTTCTATATTTATTCTGATACATATAGTGAGTTTTATTTAACAACGGTAAACTAATTGGTTTAATGATGGTTATCATTCAATAGTTTAATCGTAATCAAATATAATTAATAAAAATATAAAGTTATTTTTAAGTTATTGTTTTAATTTACAATAACATTTTAAAATTTCTACAGCTTTTTGTTTTCAGACAATGATGCCAAATTTGGTAAAAAGTTTGAAACGGCTTTCTTATATAAGACACACCCTGTTATTTGAGTTATTTAGGTTTTTATTTCCTGAATAATTTCTATAATCATCCACGAAGTGTACATTTCACCAACGCTTATAACTACATTGGTTGTAACACACATAAACCAATTTTTATAATTTTCAATATTGCGTACCTGACATGAGGGCAGCCGTGCTTTGAAGATTATTTTCGAATACTAATACTATTGTTGTACACAACGTCATAGCTGATACAATCACCACAGCGTATTGAATGTCGGTTTAGGAATTGCTAGATCATCCAGAGATCTGAGTTGTCTTATTCTGGTAGAAGTCTACTCATACGTGGAAATACCCAAAATTTATTCGTTTTGCAATAAATAGTACTCCAAGGTAATATAATGATATTGACTCCAAAAAATTGGTGCCACTAGCCTAATTTTGTAGAAAATTACATTTTAGAGTATAGCGGTCATTTGACAGTATTATAACTTCTTTACCATAGGTTCATATGGCATGGATATTATGTCATATCTTAAATTGTAGGCTGGCGACATAAAACATTATATATTATGACTGATGGGGTACATTTTGTTGTCCTGGATTATTTTTTAAAAAATCTTGGTTTTAAAATGTGCCAAAAATGCATTTTTTTAAATATTGTGCTCTATGGAATAGTCCTAAAAATAGCAATTTTTGAAAATGTTAAAAAAAGTTTCGTCACAGTAAAACAATAACCACGATTGTACATAATAAACCAAAGAACATTGTCATGCGATTGATTGCCAACCTTCTCAAAAATATGAGAAGGCTTCTACCTTAAGATTGAGAATCTAAAGCATCTACCACCCGTAACAGGTAATTCAAATTTACTATTGACAATTGTTGAGTTCTCTGTTTCACAATCTTTCTTCATACATCGATGGGAGACCTGCGTTCAAACTTATTTAATAAAATATCATTTTTAATTCAAATAAAGAAGACTATGAAGACGCTAAAAAAATAACAAATTTGGGGTTTTTGTTTTCGTGTGGCTCTGTTTTTTTTTTGGTTGAATAAAAAAGTTGACAATGTTGGTTCTTTTTTATCACTTTTCAAGCAGCAAATTTACAATATAAATACACAATCATGGGCATAGATATTCAGACTTCCGTTTTTGACATTGTGAAATTCTTTCATTTTTTGGGAGAAAAAACCCTTAAAAACTGATTTTGATAATTCAGAAATTTATAATAAGAATAATTCATAACGAAATGTATTCCTATGCACCCATAACTAATTCTCATAATTACCAATTACACTAGAATATTATAGAAACAGATATAATTTGTTATTTTCTCTATAATTTTGCGTTTTATTTGTCTCGAATTAAGACTGGAAGAAGCTAAATGAAATAACAAACTATGTAGTGTGTTGAACAACTCATGTATGAACAATAACTTTAAATAAATATGATTTTACCTGGTAAAAATACTGTATTTTAGGCATAAAAACGAAAGAATTTCGAAAACGACAAATTTTATCGCAGTGTTAGAATTACCCAAAACTACAAAGTAAAATGAACTTAAATACAATATTGTTGTGAAAAAATATCCATCTACGACTGATCTCGAAAAGTATATGCCAGATATGATCATCATCACAAAGTTTTTCGGTTTGAATCAGATTTGAGCGTTTTCAGATGCGCTCTCCG